CATATTTGGCTTGCTTGAATGTTTCAAAAAGGTAATCCTAGTAGTTTTCCAGATCCATATGAATTGTGGTGTAAATTAAATGCAAATAGAACGAAAAATATCAAGCATAGTTACGACAAAACATTTTTCCATTTTGAGCTGGGTACGCCTTTAGAAAGCGCCCTTACATTAAGTGAAGGAACAATATCGAGTATGGAAGATATGGTGTAGTAGCTATGTGTGTAGTACTTTAGGCGGGGTCTTAGCTGGATCTTGTACAGAGTGAGGATGCTAGCCATTGGAAAACTGCTTTAAGTAGTTGTCCTTTAGTATTAATAGTATGTTAGTTAGATGCGAAATTAGCAACTACCACAGAAATAATCTATGCGCATAGATGCAATTACATATAGTAAAAAGAGAGGTACGCGGAACTGCTACAAGACTGATGTTTTACGACCAGATTTCCCATACCATCCGTGATGAATAATTATAGGACGTGATAAATTATTTATTACTAATATGATATATTACCAAGCACAGTTTATTCAATGTTTATTATCATTATTAATTACTCAGGGCAATAGGTAGTTGAAGAGGAGATCTATCTATTTAGTACATACATAAGGAACTTCCAGTAGGTATCTTTAGTTTTTCCTATTGCTCAAATCTAGTCTTCACTGGATATTGCTGAAAACATTTTTGGACATTCCAAAATTTTAGGAAAGTATGGAATAATCCTGTAGACTCTATTTCTATAGTCATTGTTTTCCACAATCAACTGTTGGTTTAAATTATTTCAAGGAAGGACACCAGAAACACCGTTTAAAAAGTGTGCATTATATGATTTATGCAATAGTAAGTAAACGATATCTATATTCATCTGTTTTTCTGATATAAAAACAGATCATAACTGTGTACAGACGTGGGTCCGTAGGTCCAATGGGGGGCAGCAGAGCAGCTTGACAATACCCCCTGTAAGTAGATAACCCACACTACTTGATTGACGTGATCTTGGATCCGCGCCTGGCTATGGTAATAGAGGGGATAAGAAAGATCTAAGGAAGCTCAGAGTTAAAGCTCTTTAAATTGCGAGCTTATTCAGCATTGAATACATGTTGTTTATTCTTACGAAATTCTTCTATATTTAAAATTCCAATCTTGTAATTGACGGACAAGCAAGGTATCGAAATCGTATGATTTTACATAGGCAGTAACATATTATTTTCTCTTTTCACACAGGCACTAGGGGTTACCTGAAGATTAGGTCTAGTAATCCCTGTATATATTGTAAAATATATCATCATACCGAGGTTGATACCAAGTTAACTGATCGAACAAGTGCAAGCAACCTTTCCCATATCAACAGTCAGCTGTCTATCGTTACAACCTGGGTGACACAATACTTATGTAACTTCTATTATCAGGCGCGTAAAAGTTTCTAATCGCTTCATATTTTTAGATTTTGCAAGCTACATTTAACACAGTATTTACTTTCAATATTTAACATCCATAATTATTAATAAATGCTATAGCGTTAAATTAATTAACAATAATCAAATCACTATAATAGTAATTGATAATTGAAATTAAATTAGAGGTAGGGCAATTTATTGTTGGACAGTTGATTATGAGTAATAAGTGAAAAAATGCCATACAGTTAACTATATTGGACATCGGTCTTAAATTAACATACTTATTAGGGACGTATCAACCGCTGAATCAGCTGTATCAATTACACACAATTACAGGGCCCCGAAGTCTATTAGTATTTTTGATTATAAATGCAATAGCTAAAAGAAACTTTTCGATATTAAAAGTGCCTAAATTATAAAGGCATGGGACAACTATGACTATCAGACTTTGTATTGTCTTCAGAGATAGAAAATCCCAAAACTCTAAGCTCGTCTTCAGGATGATTTGACAAAACTTTTTCGAAAAAATCATGTCAGGAGGATTGCTTCGGTACTCTGTAAATTGAAAATCCTTGACACACAAATGCTGTTTACAATTATTTTTATATCGAGTCAAAAATAAGCCTTCCTAGAAAATCAGATCTTTTGAGCTCCATAGTGTTTTAACTACGCTCTAACTTGAGGTTGTCAGAAGACAAAAGCAAATTTTCATAGATTTTAAGAAAATGTAAGCTCTCCAAATTTTTCACGCCCAAAGTTTCGAGGTTGTAGATCATAAAAAACAAACTTTGAGTGAATAGCTGAGTAGCATTACCTACTACGAGCCCCTTCCCACTTCAGTTGGCCCAACTATTGAAATCTTAGTTTTTTTCTTATCAAACACAAATAATAAAAATGTAGCAGGGTGTTATAGGTTTAAAATATTAAAAATGAATATTTTGATAATATATAGTAGAAAACACCAACTTTATCACTCCCTAATAAAATTTGCAGCATAAAAATAACACATGTTGCAATTACAGCATATCAACCTATTTTCATTTCAATGCAAAATGAGAAACGCATAGGTGGCTGTGAAAAATAAAAGTCATGACAATAGGAGCAGTAAGAAGAATAATCGTGAAAAACAGGCGTTCCAATTATTTACAATTAAGTGCTCTGTGGAGTGACGCTGTTGGAAGGAGAATTTCGAGGTCCACAACTCATAGAGAGGCCCACAAACTGGGATTTAGCACTTGCAAAGTAAGTTTTCTTATAAAAAAAAGTGAAGTAAAAACCCTAAAGTCGCACTACTTGTTTATAGGCCAAAGAAAAGCTACTATTAACTCCACTGCAAAAGAAAAAATGGACACTCAACAATGGTGTGCAATACAATGGAGTGATGAGGCCCGATTCGAAGTTTGTGTTGGTGACAGTCGCAGTAGAGTTATTCGCAAAAAAAATGAAGCATTCCATGTTGACTGTCTGAAGAGAAAAGTGAAATTTCCTGCATCCATTATGGTCTGGGGCAGTATGTCATCAAAAGGAGTAGGAAAACTTCATTTTATGGATGGAAATGTGGATACAAACAAATATTTGGCAATTTTAGAAGAATCGCTTTTACCAGTGATGGAAGAATGTTTGACATCCGGCCAAGATTTTGTGTTTCAGCAGGATAGTTCAGCGTGCCATACCTCAAAAAAGGCTATAAAATGGATGGAAGAAAATAATGTACCACTTTTGAAATGGGTTCCTAGCAGTCCAGATCTGTCACCTATTGAAACTTTGTGGCAGGAGATGAAAAAGGTTCTACGACAACATCCTGCTCGTACAATCACCGAACTGAGACAAAAGCTTCAAGAAATATGGGATTTTTTTACACCAAATTTTTGCCAAAACTTGGCTAACACTATGCCCCAAAGAATTTCACCCGCAATAAAAAATAAAGGTGATGTTACCCAATGGTAATCTTTCAATTGTTGCTTTGTTAACTTCGCGCATTTATTCGCAAATTGTTTATTTGTTCAGATGTTCTATTAGTTATAGGTCTAGACTAGAGTGTATCTAAAATGCTTTTGAGAAAATAAATTGTTTTGGAAGTAAATAGTTTCGTCATGTTTAGTTTATAAAGGCATATTTTGGTACAAATCTTGAAGCGGGCCAACTGAAGTGGTAAGGGGCTCGTATAAGGCCACAGCATGGTCTACTAGGATAACTTAACGCTAACACTCAGACGGTCTGACAGAGATACCGACTTAGTCGTTACTACTTATATCGTCCGATTCAAGAATTTTAATTTCTTTTGAAGAAAATCTTTATCTCGAATTTAACTCTCCATTTGGGGGCCCGTAGGACTAAGTTACGCCACTGATATTCATATTGTTTTTGTCTTTCTTATCAAGGGATCGATTAGATTTCAATTTACCAATTTGTATAACCAACCATAATGCTAATTCGTTTTTTGTCTCTGATTACAAACATATAATTAATAAAAGTTGCCTTAATATTAGTCAGATGTGATAAAAGGAGTCATAGTGTAAACAATTTTTGACTATTTGCGTAACCTGGGGTGTCGCGTCGTTAATTCCATTTAAAGATAAGCTGATAGCGCGAAAGCGCAAACAATATCATGCTCGATAAAAAGTGATTTCATTCGCACAGTCTTATATACGCAACACCAGAAATACAGACAAAAATATAACAATAATATATAGTATCAATATTGACAGAGTTTTCGTTTAAATCAAAAGCGAAGCTTTGAGCATAACCCGTGTACTCCAGCACCTTTCCGTAATCCTGGGCTCCTGTTCCTTAATCTGTTACTACTACTAAGTCACTAAGCTTTTTTTAACAAAGAAGTGCTTGAAAACTCCCCCCTCTCTCCAAGTAAGAGAAATGACTCGTTGTAGACGTAAAGAAAAATGCCACATACCTCTTCACCTTTCGGGCTTAGGCGACTGATGGATATACAAGGTTTTTTCTTGATTAAAGCTTTCTTGCTGTCTTTCTTTAAAAAAAGACGCACCTCTTCACCAGTTGCGCTTAGGCGACTGATGGTTATACAAGGTTTTTTCTTGTCTTTCTTTCAAAAAAGACGCAGGGAGGGATACAGAAAACTTGAAAAAAGTAACCAAAGCCTTGTTTTAATGAATGCTCTTTCGTTATGATTGTATTTCGTAGGGGAGGAAATTAGACTCACCACCTCACTTTACGGGTAGAAATGGACTTTTTATAACAAAAATTTGATTATTTCTGATAATAATATCACAAAGGCTTAATGACATCGCAATAACCTTTGTTTTGAGTGAAGGCAACCCGTGGTAGTTGATAGACATAGAAATCTTTTGCCTTTGAGACCTTTGATATCGCAGGCGAAAATTAAAGTTTTTTTACCTGATAAGATCTAAAAAAGCTTATTCTTACTCCTATGCAGATGACTTCAAAGAGTTTTTAATATTGTGTTCGCAGAAAAAAGGATTACACTGGATTGGGTATAAAGAATAACACTCATTAATCCACCCTTTGAGCTAAGTCGGCTTTTTTACGTAAGAGCTTAAAAGCTCTCTCTCAACTACAGGAGGAATGAATTATTTTGAGCCTTGTTGGCTGCAGAGGAAAAATGACACTCACCACTTCCGTCTCATTCTCGATAGTCCTCTGACAGAAGTAACAGGTGAACTTGTTGGGTCTGCGATTATCCATGATATCCTCTAAGCAGGCGCGACACGTTGCGTCAAATGAAGTGGTGCGTCTTATCGCATGTCGCGTCGTACTCCAAAAACACACCGACAGCGGCTTTAGCAACACTGGTGGCACTCTTCGAACAGTCCGAACGCGGCTCAACTTGACGCGCGTTTTACTGTGTAAATAGCAGATTAGATTAGCGGACCAGGGTTGCCAGATCGGTCGGATAGAATTCCCCCAGGAGCGGTATAAGGGACAACTGAGCCTGGGAACATTTCAATGATCATGTGAAAAGCGGTATCCTTTGATGTGTGCTGCTGGTGCTGCTGGTACCGCTGCCACTGCTGGTTTCGTAGCTGGTGATTTCCCGTAGTTCTTCTAAAATTTATTAAATATTTATAACATTGAACATAACCTCTCTTCAAAAAGGACGGCACAAATAATCCATCTCGTACAGCTAATACATATACTTCATGGGTAGCATATTAATATACCTTCACATGCAACCAATACACACAATCGCTACATAATGCGATCTTGCTACTTTGCTACTCGACCAACTACAAAAAAAAATCTTGCTACTTTGCTACTCGACCAGTTCTCCTTCTGTCACATGTTCTCAGAAATATACTCTACAGACTGTCTCAGCATTCTGCAACCAGCAAAGCATGCTGGCAGCATGATCGTTGAGCTGTTTTTGAGTCATTCCTCTGTAGGTAACGCTCACAGCGCTCATAGCGAGCAAGAGCTGAAAGAACTACAATAGAAATCGTTTAGTACGACATCGCTTATAACGTTTTTATCATGATCCACTTAACAAAAATATCGGCTACCGCGACAAACCGTCACTGTTGCCGGTTACACTCGTTAATATTACACAATATTTTTTTTGTCTTCGTTCGAGAAGCGAATATTTGTCTCAACAGTACTCAACAAAAATTTCTAATTTTTAATGAGGAATTTAGCAGCACTTCAAAACAGGAATGTTTGAAATCTATGGATAAGGAATTTCAATGTGCATACCAAACTGTTAAATGCAAAAAGCAATCGAAAATTACTGAGTTTTTCAAAAAATAAGCCATGTTCTTTGTGAGTCAGCCAATATATTCTATGTCTTTATGTTTTTTACATATGTATGATAATACATAATATGTATTTACACATAGTGTTTTTTAACTTAGCTACTGTTGTGTATAGGTACTAACATACGTACCTACTTATTTTGGTGTTAAAGCCTTGAGATGTTTTAAAATAAATCAGTTTATTCAAGTTACGTGTTTTATTTTGTATTAAATTCATAGAATTGACCTTTATATACCTAAATAACTAAAAAAGAAGACACTATCGCTTACAACGAAAATCGGATATAATGACTTTGCTAGGTCCTTTGAGGGACGTTATAGCCGGTTTTCACTGTTTTTGCACCTAAGTATCTAGTCAGCAAGTTGACGTTTTGTCGTTTTTTTTTACATTATATAGGTTTTCTACGTAATAACCATGAAACCTCCCGAAAAATATCCAAGGCATTAATCCCAAAAATTCCAACAGAAAATAATGCCTCCTAAATTCCCTGAAGGTGTAAAACTCCCTAAGTTTTGAGGAAAAATCCGCCAATATGGCAACGCTGCGTGGACGACCGACGACCGGACGTCGTGCAGCGCCGAGGTACGAGCGCCGGACAGCGTTGCAGTACTGCTAGTGCAGTATTACCTGGATAGTACCGCCTGTTGCCAGATTTACGAATTTTCTGTAGATTTGCATATTTTTCGTGTGATGTTTCAGCTTGGTTTGGAAGATTTTGCAGCACTGTCACAACGAAGTGGATCAATTCTAGAAGGCATGAATGCGCAAAAATGAATAAAATAAGAAGTGGTAATCCAATGTGAATAGGTCTCACGCTAGCTGCAGAGACTAACCTTTTCCCCAAAAATCAAGACGATTTTCTCGCTCGCCATCTTATGTCTTCTAGTGCCCTGGACCTAGGCATAATCTGTTCATGATATTGTGCTCACAGCGACCTGAAATGTGGGCAGAAGACTCCCACATCGCTGACAAAGCGGATCGTCGACTTCCATGTTCTCCAGCTCTTAATGCAATGTTACAAAATAAAAACGCAGCAAATAGCAAGCTATTTCTATTTATAATTCTGGAAGGAGACTACGAATTTCATTTGCCTTATAATTTGGTACGCTCGCGGCACTAGTCAGATTTGGACAAAGTTTTGGACCTACAGGGTGACTTCGAAGTTGAGTCATTTACTTTAACAGTGAGTAGATCTGATCAAAAGAAATGTTTTTTTCCTTTACCATTTTTCTGGTAAAATTAAAGTAACAAAGTTATAGCCCTTTGGAACTTTGAGTACCGCCCTGTCTCAATAATAATATTAGGTACTCGTGTTTGGCGACAACGGATATAATCCGCCGTATCGGTTCATCGCATCGGAAACAAAAAAGCGAAAGAATTTGGAACGATGTTTTTACAAGTATCTCAGTCATGTGTATACAGTCAGTGTTAGTGAAAGTGGTATCTGTTGCGTGGCTCAAACGAAATAAAAAATGGCACATGTTTATGCGGATCGGTTTCCCAATCGAGTGCAACCAACCCCTAGTGCCTTTGTTAACAGGTTCAGCGCCAGGACCTCCAGGCTAAAAAATACCGTCGGGCCAATATGTTTTTTTGTTATTTTTCACCAGCTTTATGCATTTTAAACCTATCATGACTAATACAATTTTGTTTTTATTTGAAAATTCTTTGAAAAACTGAGCAGACACTGGTGTCTGCCTTGGCCTCACAGGATAGTAAATCAGACACCGGTGTCTGCCTTGGCCTTACAGGATAAGAAATCAGACACCGGTGTCTGCCTTGGCCTCAAAGGAAAGCAAATCGGAAGAAAATCGTTTACCGACTTGTTCTGACTTGTTATTAGCTCTTACGCGAACCGCGACAAAGGGAAGATTAGTTTGCCACGAGCATTCTGTGGATAAACAACGGCATCGTTCTTATCGAAAATGGCGAATCGTAGTAAAAAGATAATACAATTAGCATTACAGATGGGGCAAACTGAAGGTAAGTTTTGTTTGATTTTTACTATTCTAGTTTTTCTTATTATTATCTGTATTGTAACCTGTATTGTCTTATGAACAGATAAGTTTACAATACAATTATTGAGCCGCCAGAGAGATAAAAAGAAGTATGTAGTGATAGGTATAATTTAGGTCAAATAAAAAAACCATAGATCAAAATAAGGACTAATGTTTTTTTATTTCATCTAAATTCAAACTACCAATATATACATATAAAGACGAACAAATTATTGAAAACCTAAATTTTGTTGATGATTGGTAAATGTATTTATTTCAGATGACTCTGAAGAATCAGACCCGTTTGCGACAGATTCTGACGTTGATCCAGGATATGTTCCAAATAGCAGTAGCGAAGATTATTCGAGTAGTGATTCGGAGAAGGAAACATTTTACAAGTCACCGAATAAAATCGCTAAATTATACGAGTCACCAAGTGAACATGACCAAAATGATGCTGGTCCATCTTCTTCTTTCCATACAACTGTTCAGGATCAAATGGCAAACGTACCTTCTCAAGTATTAGAAAGTGAACTAGAAATCAGTGGACATCACCCGGAAGAAGACGAAGATTTAGAAAGTGTAGGTAATCCTGAAGTAATGGAAAATTATGATGGTCAAAGTCTTCGTGATCTCTCGCAATCAGTTTGGGGGCCCGTAAAAGGGAATAATTTAGTATTTCCAGAAACCTTCACAAGTGGAATGAAAGTTGAATGGCAGGTGGCACTGAAAGGAGAAAAACCTGTCCAATATTTTTTTTCCTTAGTGGATTTTGACATACTAGATTTGATTGTTGACCAAACAAATCATTATGCGACGCAATGTGTTACTGAAAACGATAACATATCCAATGAAGCTCGCATAAAAACTTGGCAGCCAACAGACAGGACCGAAATTATACATTTTATTGGTTTACTGGGATACATGGGCATTGTAAAAATGAATAGTCTTCGAGATTACTGGTCTAGTAAATGGCTACTGAAAAATGACGTCGCTCGTAATATAATGAGCCGTAATAGATTTGAATTGCTGCTAAAAATGCTGCATTTCTCAGACAATAAACTTTGTCCAGATGGAGACCGTCTGTACTAACTGCAACCATTACTAGATAAACTCATATCAAATTACAAAATACTCTATACGCCAGGAAAAACATTCTGTATTGATGAGACTATGATACCCTATCAAGGACGCTTAGTTTTCAAACAGTATAACCCTATGAAAACTCATAAATATAGGGTAAAAATGTTCAAGTTATGTTGCGATAACGGTTATACTTGGAACCTTAGTATTTATGCGGGAAAAGAAAAGGAACAAGCCAAAAACAGAAATTTTTCAGTCTCCTCACATGTTGTTATGACTCTGTCTCAGGGTCTTTTGAATAGTGGCAGGATCTGTATCACTGACAATTGGTATACCAGCCTACAACTTGCTCATTTACTCCTAGATAATAAAACTCATTGTTTGGGCACCTTGCGGACCAATCGTGCTGGAAATCCCGTCAGTGTTACAAAGAAAAAACTGAAGAAAGGTGAAATTACTGCAGCAGAAAATGAGAGGGGCATCTGTATTCTAAAATGGAGAGACAAAAGAGACGTGCTTGTCCTTTCTACTTGTCATACCGATGACACAGTGCAGGTTCAACGGCGTGGACACGTTATTCACAAACCGAAAGCCATAATTGATTACAATCGTGGGAAATCCTCAATTGATATATCTGACCAAATGTCAAGTTACAGTACTGCTCTACGTCGCACAATTCGGTGGTACAAAAAAGTGGCGATTGAAACTATATTATGTACATCGATTGTAAATGCACATTTTCTTTTCAAACACAATGAGGAGACTGTCATGCCTATAAACGAATTTCGAATGTCAGTCATAGAAGACCTTTTGACATTCAAAAGTCCTGATGTAGCGATACCTAGGCCGCAGCCTACACGAAATCTTCGTACTCACATTTTCTCAAAATTGGACTGTAAAGCTCGCGAGAATAGAAAATATTGTAGAGGCTGTTATAAAAAAAAGCAAGAAGGTATAATTGAGAAGAGTAAGGTGAAAAGAGTTACAACGTTTTGTTCCGTTTGCGAAGGT